ATCCAGCAGGAAAGAACTGGCTCTTCCAGGCCTCCTACTGATGTACCACCAGCCAAAGCCAAACAGAAACCATAAAGCAAGAGGTCAGTTGATAGAGCCCATATAATTTGCCTGCTTCCCAGAGCACAGAGCAAGGTGGAGAACAAAGCTGGAGGGGCAAAAGGAGAATATGAAGGCCAAAAAGGTATTCTAAATGACTGCCACACAGCAAAACACAAGCACATAAAAAGTTTTTGCCAGCTACATCTTATAGACACCATAGGATGGTCTACAAAAAAGTCATAAACTTACTTGGGTCCCTATTGCCTTGCATCAAGTTGGGGAGGAAAAAAAAAAAGATTCTAAGAAATATTCCAGGAAACTTCTGTCACTTCTGCATCACTAAGGATAAACAAACAAACCATTTATTTATAATGGATCAGGTCTAAGACAACTCCCTTCTCTGTACTCAAAGGGCACTTATTCCATACCTCCATTATTACGCTTATCATGATGTAATATAACATGTTTGTTTGTTCTTCATTAGACCCTGATCTCCTTTAGGGCAAGGATTGCCTTACTCATCTTTGTATCCCTAGCACCTAACATGGACCTGGCAGAATCAGCCTTCAATCAATGTGCACTGAATCCATCAGTGGACTTGGTGTCCACTAACTGGCAGCCTTAAGCCATTGTGGATAAAATCTGGAATGACTCTCAGTAATTAAACACTAGTAAGTTTTATTCAGGACACCATTTAACACACTGGGCAAAAACATTGCTCCTTTCACACCAGCCTGCTATCATTCCCTATAGAGCAACTTTTCTTGTGTGCTCAGATGCTTATAGCCCGCCTCTTCTACAATGATAGAACTCATCATCAAAAGAGCCAGAGAAAGATGTCAAGACTATGCTCCATTTCAAATACATACCATCTCTCAAAATTCTGACTCTTTTTCCAAGAACTTACCACATCCACTGAAGGAACTAATCATTTGGGTATTATCAGATGGAGGAAGTGATGTTTTACAGTGATAAAGACGACCAAGGGGTACAAAGGTACATGTACATATACACACACACACACGTTTAATGATCACTTCAACAGACATCACACTCCATAAAATTTTAAAGTAGTCATGTAACACAATCATGTAACATCATCATATTAAAATGGATACACTGTATGATGTTGGGGTGGTCATTAACAGAACCTGGAACATATTCACGTTGTAATTATGAATCACTTTCACATAACCCTGTACTTAAGAAGTGCTTAATCATCTTTTTGTTGGTGTAGTTAACTCTTACCTGCATATTCTCCACAGAAAAAGAATAAAGTTAATGCCAAGTTGATAACCCCTAATTTTAGGCTGTCAATCTCCTGCTGTCAGTAAAGTGAATAAAAACAAATTTTAAAATAACCCTTACAGGGACTCCTGGGTGGCTCAGTCGGTTAAGTGGCTGCCTTCGGCCAGGGTCATGATCCCAGGATCCTGGGATCGAGTCCCACATCGGGCTCCTTGCTCAGCAGGGAGCCTGCTTCTCCCTCTCTTCCCTCTGCTTGTGCTCTGTCAAATAAATAAAATCTTTAAAAAAATAAATAAAATTAAATAAAATAACCCTTACACTCCAATAAAAAGGTGAATTTGCTATCAAAATGTATTGCCTTCCAAAACTCAGCATGAAAAAGTTTTTTTATATCCTCCCCCACTGTTCTCTTTCATTGCTGTTTGTAATGGAGATTTGATATTGTTAAATCTAATGTCATCCTATATACCAAATTAAAATAAGTCAGTACTTCATTTTCTATTTGGGAAAAGGGAATTCTGGGCCCATCATACAAATCTTCTGAATAACTTTAAAAGAATTGTGAGTAATACAGTAACAGATAAAACATGTTTCAAATAGATGAGGTATCTTTTTCTAAAACATACTTAATCCCTAAGTCCCCAAACAAGTTTTTCCAAAACCATCGAAGACATTTAAATCAAAAACACAATTTTATCTTTTTGAGAGCCATCATAAATCCTGCAACTGTCAGGTCAATGTAGCAATGTAGCAATAAAATTATTCTTACCTCTATAGTACAATTATGTGCTATTTGCATCATGCTGAAAACACCGATAAGAAGAACTTACAATTTATAAAACTGTACTGCATACAGGTTTCTCCATTATAGATAAATTTTAAAACATACAAACAAAATATAGGTCTACCTTATGACTTTGTGGTTATTAATATTAGCTTTAGCTACCTTAAAACAGTATTAGGTTTCATTTGTCCTAGTACAGTGCTTGGCCCACAGAAAAAACTGGACATTTGTTTTATAAATTAATAACTCTCACAAGGTAGGAGAACAGGAAGTTAATACATAATTCTAAGAGTGCAGCAATGACAGGGTACAATCCAATACATTAGAATTAGTAAAATTACTTCTGACCATTTTCCTCTCCCTTCTCTAAAACATAAATGAAGCTTAACAAAGCCCTACTGACAGTGAGTAGGAGTTAAAGTACATTTAAAAATTTTACATCTTACCAGAGGGGCGGTGGGTGGGGAAATGGGTGAAGCACGTGAAGGGGATTAAGAGTACACTTATTTTGATGAGCACGGAGTCATATATAGAATTGTTGAGTCACTCTACTGCACACCTGAAACTAACATAACAGTTTTCTAACTACATTGGAATTAAAAAACAAATCTAAAACTAAAATAAAATTTAACAGGGCGCCTGGGTGGCTCAG